CTGGTGGCCGTTCCCGGCATGGGGCGAGCCCCCCTGGCTCAAGACTCTGGGCTTGCTCTCTGCTAATGCGGTCGCACCAGAGAGGCATAAACCTGCAAGAGGCCCCCTGCACCCACTTGAGGGATTTTTGGTCTCCTACCAGAAGGGCCGCCCCAAAAAGTCTCCGAATCAGCTTTGTGGTCGCATGCCCTGGCGTGCCCGGAGCGCGGGGCGACGGTGGGGGGAGCAGGGAGGTATGTATGTACGTTCCGTAACGCCAGCCTGGGCTCTTCCATGGGGACGGGGTGCAAAGGGGCATTACCGCCGAGCGTGGTGGATGGGCGCTGGTAGCCGGCACGGTTTGAAGCTGGCCCTTTCACTGGAAAAGTAGCCTGTTGGTGAAATAGTTAAAATCACCAAAGCTCATCATAGCGTGTTTCTGAAGGCAGCATAAAATGTAATTTGTCTCACACTGCATTTTAAGGATCGGTGGCAGTGAAGAGCATCTGTAGATTCCATAGAGCATCTATAGATTCCATAGACAAGGTGCCCGAGCGGCTGATACTTCACGATGAATTCTAGATAGGAGGTTTGCCCACGTAACACAGGGCTTGTTTTGCCAGCGCTGTGCATTTTGGTGTGAAAGGAGCCTGATGCGTGTGGCGTGAGCGCCGAAAGCCCGCGTACTCTGACGAACGCCTCTCCTCCGCTGTTACCGCCGGGTCATTCATCTGCGATTTGCCGCTTCCATTGGGTGTTTATTAGGATGATGAGAAAAAGCCAACGTGGCTGTTAGCAATTCCAGCAACCCCCTTGTGCTCGCATTATTCAAGAAACCTAATAATCCGCACGGGCTAAGCCTGACTTGCTGATGGCCTGCTTCGCTAAATCAGGGTGATTCCTTCTCGTGAATAATGGGCCATGTAGCGTGCCAGTACCTTAATTAAAGAGAGCCTCTCTTAGTCTTGATCTCGTTTTAATTTACAGGGTAATACTACAATAATATCACTAATGGAAGGTACATTAAAGGGCATCAAGTAGCATTAACTGTATTAAATTATGGCACTTGTGTTAATTAACTGCTGAAGCAAGATGGTCTTAACGGCTGGAAAGGTCGACTAATGCATAAATAAAGTCTTCTGGGATGGGAGGCTGAGGAAGAGCCACGCGGCGGACGGTCCCGGCACTGAGCTGTGAGGCACCGCTCCCCTCCGTAACATTTTTGGCTTTTTTTGGTAGGAGAAGTTCACCAGCATGCTGACAATAATCCCTTTGGAGCCAAGGAAAGGTTCCTAGCAGGTTTTGGATCGGGCTGCCGAGGTTTAGCTGCGCCCATTCCAAAGCGTTTCTGCCGTAGCTGTTCGGTTGCCGGTGACGTGTACATCCGTACGCCGTCTATTAGCCGCAATTCGGGATGCTGGCAAAGCAGCAGCGCCTCAGCGGGGGGCAGAGGGACCAGCTGGCCAAAACAGAGGATCTTATCGCCTTGGGGTGATTAGGTTTTGATCTAAGAGCCACCGGTTCCCTTCTGACACCAGCCTAGCCAGCCTCTGCACGATGTTATTAAGCCCTTTGGAATTTATTGTTATGCTCATCTCGCCTGTAAGCCTCTGCGTTTACGCCCCGGGGGTTTCTGACCCTGCCTCCGCGACGCTGGCCGTTCCCGCAGCGGTAGCAGCCTCAGCCTCGCAGTACGCACGCGAAAAGCATCCCCGGCTTTTAACAGCTTCTTGCTCTCACATTCTCCCTGCTAAATTTAAATCCATCTTGGAATCCGAGTAAGTTACTCTGCGGGGGGTTGGAGCTCTTCTGCCTTTTCCGTCAGCCTGTCCCCTCTGCCAGCGGTGACCCTGGGCCACTCTGTGCCGCCGCTGTGGATTTGGGGTGGGCACGTGCCCGTCGCCTAAAAAGAGCTGCTCTGCCCCGAGCCAGGGGCTCGCACCGCAGCCCGCAGCCGATGGTCGCCCCGGGGGGCCGGGTGGTCCCGGGTTCCATCCCTCTGTCTTGTTCTACAGGCCCGTTCTAGGGAGGGATTAATTGGATTAACTCTGCGTGTTGCTCTGGCACACGCTTGACAACGCTGTAATTACATCCCTCTGTAATTTACCCAAAAGCAGAACTTTGCCCTAGGGAAGGGGTAAAATATAGAAGTGCTTTGGTTTTATTTATAATAGAAAATGTTTTCATTAATGTTCAGCGCAGAACCAGACCATCGATATGAGGATATGTAGGCTTCAAGCTTTTAAGGGGACAGCCGCGTACCGTTGTTGGTTCCAGCATTCCTCTACCCTAATTGAATACTCTCTGTTTTACGAGAACACTTGCAGCAGCGGCTTGTTCTCCTTGGAGAGTTGCACCAGTCTTCAGAGGGAATCTAGCAGTTCCTCCAATTAAATGATGAACTCATTAGAGAGCAGGAAAGAAAAAGAAATGTATGTATTTAAGAGCACGCCGATTTGTCTTGTAACTCCCAAGTGCAGTTAGCTTTTTTAATACATCTACTGTAAGGTGTCACTCAGGAAGATGGTCCTTCACTTTCCTGTACACAAACCCAGGACCATTAGGAACTGAAATAATTAACGGGTCGCCGTGTTTATTCGCCCGGGAGCAGTCCCCAGCGTTTCGCCGCCTGCGTTTTACTCTCACCCCTGTTCCCTGGGTGCTGGCGCCCACCCCCCCTCCCGGTGACACCAGGTCTCGGTCCTGCAGCGACGGGCAGGGGTCAGAGCGTCGGGGCCCGATGGCTGGCTGGGTCCTGGTTCTGCGGTACGCCTTCGGGACTGGTGCCTGTGAACCACCAGGCTTCGCTCCCCACCTTTGCTCCTTCGCATCTGATGGGTTTTCGCGGCCCGTTTTGCAAGATGTCAAGCGTCTCCATGCTGATCTCTCCCAGCCGCCTTCCAGGGGATCTCCGCACCGCGCCGGATCGGGGTGTTGAGGAGGGGCGCCGAGCCTTTTGGCAGTTCAGCTCGTATTGCCGTTGAACATTAAAGGAGCAGAGATGAAACTCCTGATGCAAGGCA